AATGTGACCTTCGACTGGGGAGAAAAACAAGATGCCGCATTTCAAACGCTAAAACGAGCATTGTGTAGTGCGCCCATCCTAACCCTGCCAGAAGGGACGGAGGACTTCGTGGTCTATTGTGATGCATCAAACCAAGGACTCGGTTGTGTCCTGATGCAACGAGGGAAGGTCATCGCTTATGCCTCAAGACAACTAAAGACGCATGAAGTGAACTACACAACACACGATCTTGAGCTAGGAGCAGTCGTTTTCGCTCTAAAAATATGGAGACACTACCTCTACGGCACAAAATGCACGATCTTCACTGACCATAAAAGCCTTCAACATATTCTCAACCAGAAAGAACTCAACATGAGACAAAGACGGTGGGTAGAGCTACTAAGTGATTACGAATGCGAAATTCGATATCACCCCGGAAAAAGCTAATGTAGTGGCGGATGCACTCAGTAGGAAGGAATACTCAGGTCGCCGAGTGAAGTCCCTAACTATGACGATCCATTCCCACCTGTCCACGCAAATCAAGGAAGCCCAAATGGAAGCCTTGAAAGCTGAAAATGTGGCAGGAGAAACCCTAAGGGGGATGGATAAGAATCTTGAAACCAAGAACGACGGAGTTCATTATTTCATGGATCGAATATGGACACCAAAGTTTGGTGGATTCAGAGAAATCGTCATGGACGAAGCCCATAAAACACGATACTCCATACACCCCGGCTCCGACAAAATGTATCTCGACCTCAAGAAGTTGTACTGGTGGCCGAACATGAAAGCCGAAATTGCTACCTACGTGAGTAAATGTCTGACGTGCGCTAAGGTCAAAATAGAATACCAAAAGCCTTCAGGTTTATTACAACAACCAGAAATACCCGAATGGAAGTGGGAGCGGATAACTATGGATTTCATAACCAAGTTACCCAAAACGACAAACGGACTCGACACCATTTGGGTAATTGTCGACAGGTTAACTAAATCAGCGCATTTCCTACCGATCAAAGAGACGGATAAATTGGAGAAGTTAACAAGGACGTACCTCAGGGAAATTGTACGACTGCACGGTGTGCCCGTATCCATTATCTCGGACCGAGATAGTAGATTACCTCGAGATTCTGGCAGTCGCTCCAAAGAGCTTTGGGGACAAGACTAGACATGAGTACCGCCTATCACCCTCAAACCGACGGCCAGAGCGAGAGAACCATACAAACCTAGAAGACATGCTGAGAGCCTGCGTAATCGATTTCGGCAAAGCATGGGACACACATCTACCCTTGGTCGAGTTCTCGTACAACAATAGCTACCACACCAGTATCAAAGCTGCCCCGTTCGAAGCCCTCTATGGCCGCAAGTGCAGGTCACCTTTATGCTGGGCCGAAGTGGGAGACACCCAACTAGCAAAAGGACAAGCAACTGACAACACACTTACTGGGCCAGAAATCATACGGGAAACTACGGAGAAGATTGTTCAAATCCGAGAACGTCTAAAGGCATCAAGGGATAGACAAAAGAGTTATGCAGATAAGAGACGAAAACCCTTGGAATTCCAAGTTGGAGACCGTGTCCTACTAAAAGTCTCGCCTGGAAAGGATTGATACGCTTCGGAAAACGTGGGAAACTGAACCCCAGATACATCGG